CCCCCCCCCCCCCCCCCCTCCCCCCCCCTCTCTCTCTCGCACACACACACACACACAAACACACACACCTGTTAAATGTCTCTGTGAACTCTGGGGGGTTTATAAATGCTTCTAATTAAATAAAGTATGATTGAAAGCATACAATATTTATAATATATTTACATGTTTATGTGCTTTAGGGGGATGGTGCTCAGCATAAACATTCTGAAACCTTCTAATTGTGCTTTGCTTTGGGGGAGGGGCCCACTAGACATTACTGCTATTTCTGCAGTGTTTTTATGGGGAGTATAATAACAGTATTAAAGGAATTTTTGAAACATTTGTTACCAGATGACAATCCGTCAGAAAAAGAAAATAATTTTGTCTTTTTTTTTAAATGTAGGATGAGACCGTTACTATAGAGACAGTATTTCCTTTTGATGTAGCTGTTAAATTTGTCTCAACTAAGGTATGTAGAAAAATACTGAAATAAAACATAGCCTTATAAACAACATGAACAGTAGAATAACACTGTTTCTCTTCTTGACAGTTTGAGCATTTAGATAAAGTCTTCACCGACGTACCATTTTTACTGATGACAGATATCCTCAGTGCTTCACCCTGGGCCCTTACTATTGTAACCAGCCAGTTGCAGCTTGCACCTTCAGTGATTCCAGTGGACCAGCTAGAGTCCTGTGTAGAAAATGGTGAGACACAACTGTTTATTTTTAGATAACCTGCTTCTGGGATGGCAAAAATTACTGACCTTTGGAAAAGTGCATCTGGTGAAGATACCACTTTTCTTTAATTTCATCATTTAAGTTACATAAATCTTGTATGAGGTACATTTTAAATTGAGGTTAAGCTTACAGTCACTATTTTGTTTTTTGCTGGAATTCTAATAATCTTTCTCTACAATCTGATATAAAGTATATCAGAATTTATTGACTGCATCATTTGATCCCTTCTATATAAGTTCCCCCCTTTTTTCCCACAAGAGAAGAAACAAAACAAAATGGACTTGTGCTTCTGTCTGCATGTTTTTATTCTTATTCTTCTTGCTATGTTTGCTTTGTGTGTACATAATATATAATAAATAATGCATGAAATAGACTTTCAGATTTACCCAACATTTATTATTTTTTTCAATTTTTTAGATTTAATCTGACTTTTCTTTTAGTTGTTTTACAGACAGGTGAAAGTGCTAGTGAATGCTTTTGCCTTCGTTGTCCACCAGTGACAACTGGTCAAGGTGGAGTTGCTACGGGATGTTATGTAATTGTCTGGAAAAGGTAACTGCTACTTATTTACTTTTTGTAGTATTCCGATGTATTATTCTCCTGGTGGATTAATATTCTATTTTAAAGGCATTAGCATTACAATTTAAACATTCCTGTATGCCAAGTGAAATATCTGCTGCCATTTCCTCCAAAATCTTAATCAAAAAAATATGCAGATATGTGTCCAAGGTGGTAAATATCTCTGTCTCCAGTTATTCAAAGCATACTATCAAGCAGACCAGGGTGTTTGTCCCTTCTTTTAAATTACCCTATAGCAATAGCAGTTAGACTTATATACCGCTTCATAGGGCTTTCAGCCCTCTCTAAGCAGTTTACAGAGTCAGCATATTGCCCCCAACAACAATCCGGGTCCTCATTTTACCCACCTCGGAAGGATAGAAGGCTGAGTCAACCCTGAGCCGGTGAGATTTGAACAGCTGAACTGCAGAACTGCAGTCAGCTGTAGTAGCCTGCAGTGCTACATTTAACCACTGCGCCACCTCGGCTCTAAGCCTAAGTTTTCCACCTCTTTTGCCAAGCTCCTAGTCTAACTTAACTTTTTAAACTGGAGTGCTACAAAACAAAGAACCAGCACTGTTTTTATTTCTAACAATGCCTGTGGATGCTAACTAAAATTTATAAGCTTTGTTAGAAAATAAAAACAGATAGATGGTTGCAGTAAATTATTTCTTGGCACCAGGTTATGCTCCAGATAATATCGATTTTTTGAATGAGTAGACCTCTTTGCAGCCACTTCGCAAAAGCACTCACTGTATGCTTTCAAAGTGTACCAAGCACTTCCAAAAGATAAGGGCTTTCTCTAGCAATGCATTTTGGAGAAATACATTAGGAATAAAGTAAAAAAAGTTTCCATAATAGTAACGCTGAAGAGAAGAGTTGATACCAAATGTTGCTCAAAGCAGAATTTTGACTGATTGCCATAAGTTCATCTTTCTGGTCTCTTGATATATTGATGCCTCAATGCTACTGGTAGAGCTGATTTATTGGCTTTTTCTGACTGTCTAGCTCTTCTATGAAACTTTCTGGGCCAAACCCATGATTGCAGATCCATGTGACCATGAATCTTTCTGTCTCAGTATGAATTGACCTGGCTTTCTTCAATATCCCAGATGCTTTGTTCTATGGACTCTGCAATGATTGGACAACTTTGCAGCCTGAAATATTTTGAACCAGACTTAATTCGTATTCTGTGAAAATACCTCATAGGGCTGGTGATAAATGGGCCTGAAGAATCCCAGAAAATATGCAGATAATTTAAGAGTTTCATTCACAAAATGAAATCTTTTAAGTTTATGTTCTGTATTTCACCCATATTTAACTATATGCCATTTCTGTACATTTTACCAAGTTGAAATCAAGAAACCACCTGTTGCAGAAACTGATAAATGAGAGAACCACATTTGTTTTTGTTCCAGTATTCTTTGTGCGTTAATATTTCATCATTTTCTGATTACTATAAATAAATTTATAGAATTTATTATTATGGTTATATATTTTTGTGTTACATCCTTATATTTTAAATTTGGATTTCTTATAATTTTCCTATTTTAAATTATTTATTTGCTGATATTTTTATAATGATTAAAAATAAATAAATTTAATATTTTTTAAAGGAGCTCAGCTGTGGAGAGCATACCTGTGGTTAATACTTTGATCACACTGCCGCATGTAATCACTGAAACTATCCCACTCCATGTTAATGCAGGTAATGTTAATGAGTTATTGATACATGACAATTCTCATATGTTACAGAACTTTCAAAAAGTTTATTATAGTTAGGGTAAAGTATCTGGGAGAAAATCGGGAAAACTTGGAAACAAATCATTTCTCAGGATCATCATATAATTTTTGCTTAAGGCTTTGAATTCTCAAAATCTCCTTTTTTAAAATATAAGAGAAACAATTAGCAGAAAGTAGCACATTCTCCCTACCTTTGCCTTCCTCAAACTAGCAGCTACAGTGTATCCAACCAGAGTATTTACTGGGCATCATTAGAAAAGACTGTTCTGCAGTTTATTCATTGAATTCTTCTTACAGTCTGTACTATCAATGTGGTGAGATTACCCATTGAATAAGTTTTTCATTTTGTACTTTAGTTTCTGTCCTTCAGAGAGTAAAAGTTTAGTTTATTGGATTGGTCTAAGAAAGAATATGTGACCCAAAATCTGCTGTTGGTTTTAATAATACAAACAGAAAGCTCCTGTTACTGCTACTTTACTCTTATCTCCAAAGATAAAGTTGCCTTTGTTTGGTTTGGTTATTCTTTTTGGTGAGCTTTTTTGACATGCAGGTTCATATTTTGATGTTATACTCATATTTTAAGTATCGCTACTGTTACTGTGATATATGGGAAAGGCTTAAAGTATTTGTGGTTTGACAGGATGTGAATTAAGTCCAGCAGGCAACTGTTTTCCATTGATTTGCTATTGCCTTTTCAGTATACAAAAAGAAAACATTCCATTGGTTAGCTCAGTACCATTGTTTTAATCACTTTCTCATAATGATGATTGACACATGATTAACAGTGGAATTTCCCTCACAGCACTTTTCAGTGCTGAGTGTTTGAAAAGAGAATTATGTTTTTCTCAGTCTCTCTTCTTAGTCATAACGTTTAAAACTTGTAATCTTTTAGTCTATGAGTATGTAATCCTAAATAGTATTCATATGTTCCCGTGGAGCTAAAACAGAAATAATAAATCCCATTTATTGAAACTCATGGAAATTATTGTTGTGCTTTCTTTCCAAGATTTGCCATCATTTGGTCGAGTCAGAGAATCCTTACCTGTAAAATTTCATCTGCAGAATAAGACTAATTTAATGCAAGATGTAGAAGTAATTGTGGAACCTAGTGATGCCTTCATGTTTTCTGGTCTTAAGCAGGTATGGATCATGATGCATCTAGATTTTTAAATCTTCATTTAATTCTGTTAATGAACTATAAGACTCTTAAGAGAAATTATACAACTAATATGCCTGTGTTACAGAAGAAACGTGCATTCTCTTTGCCCTGTTAAATGTAGGGTAGGAAATGAAGTTTTAAATATAACTTGAATGCAGTAAAAGTGACTTCTACTGAATCAATACTATTTCTGAGTCAAAGTACTATAGATGAAATGATATTGAACATGCATCTGATGCTAGCCTTTGATATTACAAAGATAATGTTGCAGATTAATATGAAGGTTGAGAACTTTAAATTGGAAAAAGTTTTGCAAAGTTAAAAAAACTTTTAGCAGTTAGTCTACATGTAATTAAGGAACTTACTGTGGGATGTACTTTCAGATAAGACTGAGAATCCTTCCTGGCACTGAACAAGAAATGTTATACAACTTCTATCCCCTTATGGCTGGATATCAGCAGCTGCCATCTCTCAGCATCAATCTGCTACGATTTCCACAGTTTACTAACCAACTGCTTAGGAAATTTATACCAACACACATCTTCGTCAAGGTAACAAATAGTGGTAGCAAAATAACAGTATTTAAGGTTCTTTCAACATGTGGTTTGCTCGTAAGGATAGTAAGTTATTTTAAAATGATTTTCAGTGGAATGCTAGAATGGATTTCTAAAATAGGTGCAACTTCTGCTGAAAATAATAAAATATAAGAATGGAATAATGGAAGCATTATGATAAGCTTGCTATTGCGTAAAATAAACGTTTTCACTCAAGTTTTTGCCTAAATTCACTAGTCTAAACACTGGAGGAAAATGCCATTCCGTGTTCTGTTTTGATAATGACTAGTTGAAGCAAGTTTTCAATCTAGAATAAGTCTCATTGGATTAGGAATGATCATAGTCATAAATGCAAATAACAGGAATTGGAAATAATGTAATGTCACATTGCAGCAGTAAGGGTACTAAGAACTATGCATGTGATAATACAATTATTTAGCTACCAAGACATTAGTGAAGGGCTCTTTTTTCTTCCCCCTCCCCATTTTGCATAGCAGGGATTATCAAAATAAGTAGAAGAAACCTGTCCAGGCAGAGTAAATGAAATCTTTGAAAAAAATGTGATGTGCTTTTTGTGAATTACATTGTAAAACCCAACTTAATCCACCCTTTATGGTGACAAGGCTTTGTAGGCTACTTGTTCACAGTACAACCAGAAAGGACGGGTATTTTTCAAGAATTCTGACAGTCAGAATGCCTCTTAAATCAGTTATTTACATTTGCTGCTAGCTAGGGATGTATGCCTTCTTTTTACAGAGAAAGAAGCTTATGAGTATATTCCTAAACTGCAGTATCTTCTAGGTTGTGCAGTCTGTTTTTCCTAAGTTTTTTTTAAAAAATTCAAATGCTTAAAATCTAGACATTTGGTGCTTAAAATCTTCCTTGTGTTGTATAATATTGTAATTTTTCTGATTACATAGTAAATGTTTTCTGCTGTAATAGTTGTTAGTTTCTAAAAATGGTAGATATGGAACAGAAGTAAAACAACTTGTCATTTTCTATGCATTTCTATCAGTAGATGATAGTTTCATAATTACTTTGTCAATTTAGTCTAATTAAGAATTATTCAGTGTTACCAATCTTAATAGGATTTGCTTGCTGTTACAGTACTTTCAATGGAACATTTGGGGTCATGCTGCAGTAATTGATCCTAAAATAATGGGAAATTAATACATTATAGATATTGTGTAACTCTGTAGAGCCCTATGTAACTGTGGGAAAACATATATTGAATTGAATTGAATTGAATTTATTATATTTCTATGCCGCCCTTTTTCCCGAGGGGACTCAGGGCGGCTCACAACTCAAGTCAGGCGGGGGGTAGGGGATACAAATAGGGCAAAAAAGAGTTACACA